TTTTTTTTTTTTCTTCAACCTCTGCCTTCAAATCTTCCTTTCTCGACTCCTTGGGCTGAACACACAGCTCTTTAGTCATTCAGCTTCAAAAGCAGTCTCATTCTGGTCACTAAGATTCTATTGCATATATTAAAGTCCAGGCTAAGTCAAAGATTAATTTCATATCCATTCACATCCAAAGGCTTTTCCCCTCCATCCATCCTAGGCTGTACTTGTGGCCCAAGGGTCCATCTGGGAAGGAGGAATAAGGTTCTCCTTTTGCACGGTTCTTCCTTTCTCTCCCTCTCCCTGCTGCTTCTAACCCCTCTGAGGGTGGGTGGGGGTGAGGGGATGGAGGACAAGAAGAATAGGGCAAAAGCACTTTCACTGGACTCTTGCAGCCTCATCTGTCTTGGTGGTTGTGCTCTTGTGCCTGGAGGGGCCCACCCATGGGTGGTACTATTGTCTGACCCAGAAGATGCTCTCCAGGTAATCTCCACTCACAGCCTCACCCCCAGGCAACCATCCCAGCAATGCCCATCACAGCCAGAGGGTTGGGGAGAGGAGCCACCTTGAATGGGGTACCAGCAAGATAGCACAACTCAATTTCTACTAGTGACAACTTGGAAGCTTCTCATTTGGCTGTGAGGGACCAATGGGAGAAGCACCCCAAACCACAAACCCTCTATCCAGATCTTTCTCGTGAATAGATTCTCTTGGTAGTCTTATGTCAAAAGACTTATGGACCTCTTCTTAGAATGTTTATAAAATAAAATATGCAATATTACAAATGAAACTAATATTATAAAGGAAAAAAACATTTTTTTAAATTTGTACTCTAATATGTATGCTGCCTCATGTAACAATCCTCGCAGTGATTTCTAAGTGGTGCTGAGTGTAAATGATATTTTGAGGTATCTGCAACAACTGTGTGTAACATGAAAACACCTGTGGCTTCTACTGGTGACAAAGTTACATGTGTTGCTGATACTACTATGGTTTGTTGTCTACATTCGTAATGGAAGGAAATGCTAAATTTCAGCCAGAAGATAGTAAAAATAAGGACGGACTTATTCTTCCCACTCATGATCATGAACCCCCTGAATTCCATCCACAAATCCCTGAGGACTCCAGATCAAGAAATGCTACTCCAGCGAATGCTCCTCCGACAACCTTCCTGCCTCTGCATATATAGGTCAGAAAAGGTTAGGGAGGTGGCTGCAGGGCCGGTTTGGTGGCCTCTTGGTGAGATTTGTAGCTCCCTTAAGATTAGAGAAAATTAAATCCAATAGTCATCAGCTTGGGGACACACAACTCTGAATCGGTGTGAAAAAGTCCACTAAATGACTTGTTGCTGCAAATGTACTTTCTGCTCTACATTGATGAAAATACTCTGGAATTGGTGTCCAAGAAGCTGTTAAGAGTAAATACCTTGGGGGAGTGGAGGTGGAGGTTGGGGTAAACGGAAGGGAATTACTTTTCATATTAAACCATATAATGAAAAGCGACTTTAAAGAAAACTTTAAAATTTTTCCAAAGGAAACTGTATGTTATTTTAAACTGATCTAAGGCTCATAAGGAGTTTCTAAGCATAAAAGCAATAGAAAAATGATGGGGATGATTGACAGATTTGATTACACCAAAGATAAGTCAAAACATACTGATATCACAAACTAAAAGAATAATAACAAACTTGATGAAATATTTGCAATAAAAATTACAGAAAAGGCGCTAATAGTCTTATATTATGAAACAGTCTTATAGATCAATGGGGGGAAACAGTAACATGCTACAAACGGCTGTTCTAGACTTTTCTTTCTGCCCTGATTCTATCATATCTACCTACAGAGAACAACTGACCAGAAAAGAAAGAGAATCCTAAACACACAGATGAATTTCCAAGATTCACTGGTGGCTGAGGCCACTCCCACTTTTCTTTTAGCTCCCAGTTCAGTCCAATCCACTGGTGTTTCAAACTGGTTAAGGCTTGGAGGACCCAGGGCCAAAGTGGACCTGAGCCTCTACACTAGAAGGAAAATAAGTGAATTTAATCATCTCCCATCTAGGGTATATTTAGAGTTAAGTGGTACCCTTACAATAAGGATGCAAGAAAATTTCTTGAAAGATAAAATGTCATGTTTATTTGTACCTGGCCTTCTGGTAGAGCATCATGCCATGTGTACAACAGAATGGCCTTTGGAGACCAAATAAACTTGGATTCAAGTCCTGGTTCTGCTGCCTTTTACTGTCTATAAAACTTGAACAAGTCACTTATCTAGATCTTTGTTTTCTCATCTGTAAAGTGGGAATGATGCCTCCTCATAGGGTTGTTGTAAGGTTAAGAGATGGTATATGAGATCTACCTCATACCATACACACAAAAAGACTTCAAAGAAATAAATGTTTAACTAAAACATGAAAAGATTATGAAATACAGGATAATTTCTTTATGACCTTGGAATAGGAAATGATTTCTTAAGCAAGGTCCAAAAAAAGGCAAATGATAAAAATATATATACATGAATTAAACTACGCTAAGGTTTAAAACTTCAACGCAATGAAAGATATCTTTTAAAAACTAAAGACAAACAAAAACCTGGAAGAAGATATTTGTAACATATAAAATAAACAAAGCATTGGTATGGAACATACTAAAATTCTTTTAAACAAACTTTTAATGAAAACCCAATAGAAAAACTAGCAAAAGACATGAACGGTAACCCACGGAACAAACCACTATAGCCAACAAATATAGGAAAAGATGTGCAATTTCACCAAAAGCATGATAATGCAAAGAAATTCAGAGTGAGATACTTCACTCCCATAAAATTAGAAAAATTTTTTAACTGTGATGAAACAGTCACTGGAGAGGATTGTGGGGAATCAGGGGTTTTCATGCACTGCTAGTAGGAATGTAAATTGATTCAATCACTTTGGAGAACAATTTGGCATTAGCCAGTAAAGTTAAAAATAATCCCAGCCTCTGGATCCAACAATTCTACTTCTGAAGAAACCCCTGCACGTGTTGGACATGTGCACAAAGAGGCATAGAAAGATGTTTACTGTAGTCTTATTTTATAATAGAGATTTACTAGAACCAACTCAAATGTCCATCTGTAGAAGGGTGGCTAAATAAATTGCACTACATTCATACAATGGAATACTATATACAAGTGAAAATAAATAACCAGGTTTATGTGTAGCAACATGGGGGAATCACAAAAAATATAACTTTGAGTGCAAAAATGCTGCATACACTATGATATGCGTGATATGCATTTATGTAAATATTCTTAAATACCCAAAGCAACACCAAATATTGTTTAGAGATGCATATCTCCATAGTAAAAGTATAAAAATATGGCCTGGATACAAACCAAATTTCTGAGGGGAAGGAAATTGGGCAGGAAATGTAGAAAAACTGTTATTGTACCTTCCTGTACTTTTTTTAAAAATTGAAGTATAATTGACATATAATATTACAGTAGTTTGATGTTTGCATATATAGCAAAATGATCACCACAACTAAGCCTGGTTAGTGTCCTTTGCCACATATAATTACAAAAAAAAATTTTTGTGTGTGATGAGAACTTTTGAGATCCACTCTCTTAGCAACATTCAAATATGCAAGGCAGTATTATTAACTATAGTCACCCTGCTGTATATTACATCTTCATGACTTATTTATTTTATAACTGAAAGGTTGTACCTTTTGGCCCCCTTTACTCACTTTGCCCATGGCCCGCCCCACTCTCTGGCAACCACCAACCTCTTCTCTGTATCTATGTGCTCAAGGTTTTGTTTTGTTTTGTTTTGTTTTGTTGTACTTTCCTATGCTTTAAAAAAAAACTTTTCCCAAAATAAGTAGTAAATATGAAGTACTGAGGAGAGTGTGTGACCTTTATGAGGTGCTTGTTAAATTATAGCTATTTTCGAAATTTTCTATCAAGTATAGGTAACTAAAATAAGCTTCAGTCCTGTGTCCCAATTCCAGGAAACTGGTAGCTCTTCACCCAGCACACCAGCAAATAGCAGGCCCTGTACATTGTAAAACAACATGAAATTAGTGTTGAGCCTCGTGTTAATCCAATGGCTCTCCACTGGAGGCGATTTTGACCCCTAAGGGACACTTGTTGATGTCTGGAGACATTTTGGTTATCACAACTGGAATGGGGGGTGTGCAACTAGAACGTAGAAGACTGAGACCAGGGTTGCTGCTGAACATCCTACAATGCATAGGAGAGCCCCCTACATCAGAGAATTATCTGGTACAAAATGTTAATAGTGTCAGAGTTGAGAAACCCTATGTAAGCCCATAGAAAGTAGAATAAACATTCATTGAACTGAGTTTTAATATATTAAGTTTGACTACTTTTCTGACGTGTTTTTTTTTCTAAATTATCAGACCTGTGGAACCACGCCTTCTTTCTAATACTGGATGCTAAGACTAGATCAGAGAGCATGGGTGATAGAGATACTCCCACCCAGACCGTAACCTTTAGTTTTTTTTCTCTGTCCCCACAGTAGGCAAGATGCCATTTGCCACAGGGAATGTACTCTCTATAATCATTTTAATTGGGCAAAACATTATGGAATTTTTTCCCAACTCTGAAACTGTATCAGTCTTGCATCCTAATTAAGTCCAACACTGGCTGCTTCCAAGCTAAAACAACAGAGGCGTTTCTTTTCAACGTCTCAGCAAATAGTTCAGCTGA